TATTAAATATGAAAATATTTTAATAAAAATAAATTTTTTTTTTGAGTGCCCGGATATTTTCTTCAGGGGAGTGTATGCTCAGCTGAAAATATAAAGACCATTCAAAAAATATTTATTTTGATGGTCATGAGCGTGAAGATGTAGTGGTAGATAGACAACGATTTTTGCAGAAATAGGCAGAATTGCGAAAACAAATGGCCACTTATGAAGGCGAAAATTTAGATAAAACTATCTTACCTGTATTTCCCCATGGTGTTCCCGAGATCGTTTCTATCACTCATGATAAGTCGATATTTTATGCTAATAATGATATCGTCAAGGCTTGAGGTTCAGCAGATAAGAGTTGACTTCGTCACAAATCGCAAGGTCTTAGCATTCATATAAGTGACTTTCTCTGCGAATCTATCAGACGACTCCAGCTCTCAAAAGAGGAATGCGCCATTAATGATTCATTTTCTGATAGTGAGCGGCTTATCTACACTGAAGCTTGCGTTATAATGTATTCTAGTATGAATCGTGATGGCTGGTGGACAAACAAAGATGTTGTTAAACAGATAAAAGAACGAGCAATCCCAATATTTGAACGTACTCACCTGAGAAAAGTCGCACTGTTTATGTTCGATAACAGTTGCAACCACAATGCATTTGCTGATGATACATTAATGGTTTCAAGAATGAATATAAAGGATGGAGAAAAACAACCACTCCTCTGCAATGGTAAAATGCCTGATGGTTCATCTCATATCATGACACTTACAGATGTCGATGGTACAGTAAAGCCTAAAGGTATCCGATGAGTTCTTAAGGAGTATGGTTTATGGATACTAAGCTTGAAAAGAAAATACAATGCGTGTACACAACATAATCCTGATTTAATTAAACTAGACTGTTGTGCAACACACATTCTTTCCACCTAACCTGACTTTGCGTCACAAAGGATACATATACAAGAAGTAAGTTGCAATTAATTAATTATTCCAGTATTCCAACATAACATTTAACTAAAAAATAAATACTTATCTTTTTAGGTTATTGAGGCAATAGGACATATGTGCATCTGAAGTTCCATTACGAGCTTAATTATATCGAGTCCTTTTGGGTGGAGACAAAGCAGTATTCATGTCTTCACTGCAATTATTCATTCAATGATCTTAAGGAAATTGTACCGTGCATTAGATTCAATTAGCCTAACAAAATCTGCCAGTTTTTACATCGTTCTGCGCATTATATAAGTGCTTATAAGTTAGGACTTTCAGGTAAGACGGCTGTCTTTGCAGTTAAGCAGTATCATTCTTATCATTGGGTTCCTGCAAACATTTTGGAAAAATTCGGAGATATGTAAAATTTTTGAATTATGGTTAGCCAATTATACATAGCCATGTGACTTTATATGCACCAATCATGCATTTTCACGTGATATCGGTGGCGCTAAAAATCCTGCTATTGCTATTAAAATTGATGGTAAAAAAAATCTAACTACAAAAAATTTTTATAATAAAATGAATTAAAAAAATATGTAGTTTTACAGACTATATCAAAAGTTATTAAACAACGTATTTTTTTTTAATATTATATGATTAAATAAAATTCCTTTACATTTTAAAATCTTAATAATTATTGGATGTGACTAAGCTGTTTGCACCATAATTAGCCTTATTTTTATTATATGCGTTTTTCTCCTGATCTTTCCTTTGGGCTAGGCTATTAATCTTAAAGAAATATATGCAGGAGGAATTAAACAGTTAATAAAATACTATAAACGAGAATTATATTATATAAAATTTATATATAGTCAAGAAATATTAAAGGAAAGAAAAGTAAATACTATTAGATGAAGAGCAAAAGAAGTAATGATAACAAAATATAAAAATATTACAGTAAAAAAAAGAATAAAAAAGAAAAATAAACAAATTTCAATATCTAAAACACCTGCATCAAACCAGTTAGAGTCATTAAATCCTGTGGTAGCTTCGTCATTTATCATTTCATAAGACAGAATAAAGCTATAAAGAGATTCTCTATTAGCTAATAAAAGTAATGTATCCTCAAAAAAATGAATATATCAAATACCATTAAAGAAGTAATTCAAATTTTTGCTCTAATGGTTGTTAACTCTAATTCACTTACAGAAGAGGAGTTACAAAGTTACTTGAATATTCTGATTGAAAAAATACCATTATTTGATATTTAGAATAAAAATCAAATTATCCAACATTATCAGAACTGTCAAAAGAAAAATTAGCAAAAAATTAGCAATTATAAAGTGAATAAATAAATAATAAATATTTACTTATATATAAGAAGACCGTAAAATAAAACTTCTATTTTATTAGTCACTTCTAATAAATAATTTACTTTAATTTTATTAAAATATTTTATAACTAGACTCACTTTTCTTCACTAGGTACTTTTGAGAAGCTAATACCTAGTGAAAAAGAAGAATTCTTTTCATTATTAATAGAACAATTGACCAATCATAATAAAATCACATGGATGACGCAGTATAATGATCTTTTAATTTTGAATTCTGAAAATACTGAAAATTCTGCGAATTCTAGAGATACAGAAGATCTACATAATTTTAAAGATCTTCTAAATACTGATGATAACTCTAATTTTACGAATTAAATAAAATCTAAGAATAATTAGTGTTATACTTATTTTTAATATTTTAAATTTTATTGTTATTTTTATTATATTTTATATTTTTATTATTTTTATTATTCTCAATATATTTATTTTACTTATATTTTATTTCACTAAATTAGTTAGTTTATAGTATAGTAATTAGTTAGCCATGATAAAAGAAATTTGTATTAATAGATAGACTTTTTTCTTATGTTGTAAATTAACTCTCTTGCGAATACAATGTTAATCCTATGCTCAACCGTCAAATTTAAGGTAACTATGACTTAATAACAGGGAGTAATGTGCGAGAAACTACTAAGTTACTGTAGAATAAGTCTTATTACGATTAACCTTAGGTTTATACTTTTAGACGAGTAAATAACTTTAACAATTTATAAATACGATAAACACAATTGATACATTGAAGGATTTTTAATATGTGTAGTTTAGAAAGAGATTTCTTTATTGTAGAGATTTGTATCCTTAGCAATCCTTAAC